CCCCCCCCCCCAATACATTTTGCTGGATCCGCCACTGGCATGTGCTCCTACTATACAGTCATATCTCGCGTAACAAAAACTCAAATAAGCTCATCATTAGTCGCGTAATTTACTTCAGTCGAATGCATAGATTTGATTGTTGCCGGTCGCGAAGAATTCAAGTTGCAAATGCATTTTGGCAGCTTTTCTACAGTTCCCGTTCGCGAGTATTGTCTAGTATTGTCTTTAGTATGCAGCATAGTACTGAACAAAAACTAAAGTTGCTCGAACTATTTATGAACTATGTATTTGACGCAGGCGCCTCAATCGACTCCATGCGTCCGTTCCTTCCACGAAAAGCACAGGGCCCGTCACGAGGCCTCATCATTGTTTTAACCGCTAAAGTATTATCAGCTCACAGTTCATACCCCGGAGACATAACGTAAATACAGTTGCTACGTGTTCAAACGTGTGACGGTTAAAGATATATATACCCGGATTATATTGAGAGTGTATAGCTTGAATCATGCACACTGGTATTACCAAACAGTTCACGGTGGTCATATTTCATAGCTGTGTTTCTGTTTCTTTAGCGTACTAGTAGTATAGCGAAAACGGAAAACCAACTTGAATTAATACATTGAATTGATCTAATTAGTTTTTGTTAGCCCCCAAGTAACATATTGTAAAGTGTCGGTTCGATCTCTGGCCGGAAAGAAAATCTTCTACTCCACATTTTTGTCTGTGGTACTGCTATAACGAGCAATTTGACTGGACAATGCATTTAAGAAAATATTCCTAGTATTGCCAGAGAGGGCGCACTTAATATACGTTGGCTGTATAACGTCTGCCAGCGACGGTGTAGTGGCGAGGCGAGGCGAGTGGCCGAATGGTTTTCAAAAATTAAGTAGAGCTAGGAAAGATAAGACTACAGGGTCATATGAACATTTTTTTTTCAGTAACTTTTGAGATAGAGGGCAAAAATGAAATTGGTCTGTACTTTGACTAAAGATTAATACTACCGAACCCATAAAACAACGGGTAATACGTGCACATTTCATAATATCTAGAATTTATAATTTCGTTCATCTTGATTACCTGGACCAACGCATTTGCACCACTCTTTTAACATGTGTCTTATGATTTATGTATTAAACCCGTACCTAGAGATAAATTATGATCCACATAGTCGTACATGTTTACTCCGAACACAGGGGAGGGACTGTGCTGCGAAGTTCAAATAAAGTTGTATTCCGCAATATGTATACGACGGTTGAGTTAACAACTTCGATTATGTTTGTATGTTTTCTCACAGTCCATGGTACAGAGGGTCTACAGTCATCGGTACAATTTAGTTAAAGTACCAAATCCTTCTCTTGCTCACGATTCCTCGAGGCTTTCCGCTCGTAATTGGGCATGCTAATTTTCAGTAACGAACGCTTGTTTCCGATGTTTTATTGTATACTAATAGTAGCTCACGACTGATACCAGATGTTTTCATTTTTCCATCGTGTAAAATATGACGGCTGTAACACGTGTTGGTTTTGTACTATTGTTATTTAAATTGCCTATTATTGGATATTTACCCAATTAATGTTATTGTACGTTCAGTTATTGTTTAATCTATGCCATGAATTAAAACACGTAACATTGCAATTGTTCGACTTGTTGTAATGCGACATGCCGTGTATTTAATTAATTTTTGAGTGTCGTTATTTCCAATAATAACAAAACCGAGTGGTGCGTGACAAGATCAGAAGCTTGCTCCACGAGGGGTTTCTGTCCCCGCTGAGCTCGCTTTGGGACACCTGCATTTCATTACACAGGCGTTTCTTTCATTTTAGAAATAAATACTATGTGAACGTTATGACGTACTATCGTGTCCTGACCACCACCACGTCACGTACTCAGACCACATGTTTATCAATTAATCATTTTAATACTTGTCTTAATCGCCAGTGGGAAAGAAATTGAAACAGAAACAAAACTGAAAGGAAAAAAAAAACGGAATGTATCGAATTGTGCAAGAAGAACACATTCTTTGATACCAGACTCAATTTATGATACAGAACTACGTGACGGTAAATATATACATGTATATACTAATATTTGTCAGTTTTGTTTATAATCCCGACGGGTCCACGGCATAATGCACCTACCTAGTGCGTGGTGTCAGATAATTGGTAAGGGTTCGATAATTGAATACTTGACAATATCCACCTGATGATACTATGTGTATGGACACCAAATTCGTGTTATTTTATAAAATGTGGAATCAGACATGCACGAACAAACTAGAATTATTATTGAAAATTAAACATATAAATTGTTGTTCAATATATATCCAATATTTAGCGGTGGCATATTCGAGCGCATATTCGACTCCCGTGGACACCGAATCAAGTTAAATGTACCAACTCACAATTGATTATTCGCATACTATTTCAAGAAATATGCGTTTTTGATCATAAGTATTCCTTATTTTTGCATATTCATGAATACGCCTGAACAGGCTGCCACGCACTAATCTCATCTGCACTGAATCCCTCATATTACCTGTTATTATTAGAACAGTCCATGAGCAGCTGCGCTTGGTAGTGGAAATTGCTACATACATGGTAGTCATTGTAGGACAGGTATCAGTTCGAGAGTGGAGGCAATAGTTTTCAGTATGTATAGAAAGTTGCATTATAATCGACTTGTCAACTACGTTCTTCTTATTTTGGCGTTTTACGCGTGTTACCTGATCAGAACGCAACTGCGATTGGCTGGAGTTACACCATGGACAGCTTCGGAAAATACAAAACAAACGTGAGTGTTAAAAGTCCGTTAAAAGTGGACCATACTGTCGTTACTTTATTTCTCACCTACTGTTATTTGAAAGCCAGACTGGCTGCTGTGACTTGACACAACGTATATACTAACCATATGTCTATAATAATCAACATTGTATCCAAAGTATAAATTAATAATAACCACAATATTTTAATTTAATTTAATAATTAAATTCCCTGTACTAGTTTTAAACAAATATAATTCACAACTGTACGCAGAAGCCATGAAAAAAATCGAGTATTTTCAATGTACACTAATACGGGGTAATCCGTATAAAAATTATGTATACTATAAATAACGTTAATACCACGATAGAAGCGGTTTGAACCCAAAAGGCAGAACAACTAACAACAGTTGAATTTATAAAAAAAATGAATATGGTAATATCGGAAATAAGTAACATGAAATTGTTGAGTTATAATGGCAAATGTATGATACCAATACAGCTTACGAGTATGTAACGTTAGTTATGTGACGGCCAAAGAGTTTTATACTGAGAACCTTGCATTTCACAACCAAACCTCATTGTTCTGAACTTTTTACTGTTATACACCATAGTCACTATAATGTTGAAATACGACAAGTATATAGTGGTCTCCTATGAGGGACCCTTCACTATCAGATCAAACTAGTCAAGCCTTCTTTCAATTAAAGATTATGATAGTAATTGTTTATTATTATATATCTGTCACCGTAACGCCATATGTTACAGCTTGCCGTAATTTTGCGGTATTGCACTGGGTATTTTTCATCCTACCATATTAGGAAACGCGAATTCCAAATATGGAACGATTAAGCGTGTAAGCGTCCTCTAATAATAATAAAAAAACATGGCTGCCCCCAGGGTTTGACCGAACTTGAACCCCACACAAAAAAGTTCGTTAAATCTGTTCTAAACGTTTTGGATTTCGGCATACCCATGATGTATTCCTGGAAGGAAATGATGTATAATGATAAGGTTATTACTAGAATACTGCAAAGTATGCACTCAGGCAGTACGCGATCGCATAACTTACGAGTAGTATGTAATTTAGAAAGCGGAATTCAATAATTTTACGCACATTTAATTACAACGTTATTGAACTGAGTTTGACTTCCTGACCTCATCAGTAGTTCAAAGTAACAACAAAAATCACTTTAATAAGAATAACTTTAATCCGACGTTTTTTTTGTATTCAAAACAAAATATGGAGCTTCTAAAATTCACTGACCGATTTTATGATGTAATTTCGGGCAGTGGACAGTACTGCGGTGCTGATATTCAAAGTTGATCGGTCCTTCCGGTTTTTTAATCCGACGTTTTTTTGTATTCAAAACAAAATATGGAGCTTCTAAAATTCACTGACCGATTCTATGATGTAATTTCGGGCAGTGGACAGTACTGCGGTGCTGATATTCAAAGTTGATCGGTCCTTCCGGTTTTTTAATCCGACGTTTTTTTGTATTCAAAACAAAATATGGAGCTTCTAAAATTCACTGACCGATTCTATGATGTAATTTCGGGCAGTGGACAGTACTGCGGTGCTGATATTCAAAGTTGATCGGTCCTTCCGGTTTTTTAATCCGACGTTTTTTTGTATTCAAAACAAAATATGGAGCTTCTAAAATTCACTGACCGATTCTATGATGTAATTTCGGGCAGTGGACAGTACTGCGGTGCTGATATTCAAAGTTGATCGGTCCTTCCGGTTTTTTAATCCGACGTTTTTTTGTATTCAAAACAAAATATGGAGCTTCTAAAATTCACTGACCGATTCTATGATGTAATTTCGGGCAGTGGACAGTACTGCGGTGCTGATATTCAAAGTCGATCGGTCCTTCCGGTCGCTGCTACATGCAATAATACTGTTTGAAGACATTCGTTAAAACGCGGCAGTCGTCGTGCCGCGTCCTGTTCGATATGGGACTCGCGTGTAAAATACATTACACTATCACTATCAGATCAAAA